GATTGGATTTTGACGATTTTGTGCTTGTTAGAATCGTCTCATTAAGACGAACATTTTGACATTTAAAACATCCAAAACAGACTAGTAGATCAAAAGTTATTCACTGTCAAACATATTTACATAATAATTCTAAAATCTCTTATTAAAATCACATAAAACCTGAACGATCTCGGGATCCCGTGATTAGATCTTAACGATTTTAGGCTCGTTAGAATCGTCTCATTGAGATGAACATTTTGGTAGCTAAATTATCCAGAATGGATCAGTAGATCAAAAGATATCAGCAATTCCTCAAATCAGTCCATATGTTTTATATTTAAAAAATAAATAATTTTATATTTTATTACCTCTGAATCTCATTTGGAAAATAGCACTATATTATTATATCCTATATTATGAAGCATTTTTTCCAAGCACCTAATTCACATTCATTAAATTAATAATTTATTGAATATAATTTTTTTAAACTACTATGTAATTTAATTATTGTATCTCATTTTTGTCATTTATTTAAAAAACCTTGCCAATTAATAATTTTTTTTTTTTTTTTTTAGTCAAGGTTAGCCTCTTTGGCTTTCCGCTTTTATTAGATTTATAGGATCATGTAGTACCCTTTTCAAAAGGGTTCCAAACAAGTACATTTTGATGAGGATACATTCTAGCCATACCTGCGGTTTTTAAGTGCTTAATTAAGTATCTACTTATTACTAAATTCTATACTAGATGCTGTATCTATAACCCACTATTACTTGAGTTACTTAATTAAACTCTCTGATCCAAGTTTCTCTGCTAATCCATCTAATCTTACCGAGTACATGTGATACATAAGTCAGTTTAAGTCCCAAGATCATTGCATGCTACTTGCCAATTAATATTACTAATAGTTTGTCATTTAAAATGATAAGAAAAATCTTTTTTAAAAGTATTTTATAATTTCAATCATTTAGTGAACAAGATGGAATTTCTAAAACTTGAAGTTTTTTTTGTATTATATTATTTCAATTCCAAATAATGTTTTCTGTAAAATCTGATAATTCAATAACTTTTATTTCTTGTTCATTGAAAATTTTATTCCACATGAGATCTGGTGTAATATTACAATATACTTTTTTAATTTCTGCTTTTTGTATTATCAGTCATAGGACATGTCCCTCTTAAATTGCTTAAAAATTAATTATTTATAAATCAAATGAGATAACTCACCTAATTTTATATGTAAATTTTAGCAAAAAAAATACTTTTCTTTAATTTACTCAAGAAAGTAAATACAAAAAATAGCTTTAGATATGGAACTTAAATTCTTTAGCATTTTCTGAATTCTTTTACAAAATTACAAGTTCAAATATCAAGTAGTTAGAGAAGGATCTTGAGCTTAAGTTCTTCAATTTTTTCTTTGTTTTCTATATATTCTCTAGGTCAAATGAGTGACTCACCCCAATTAATAATATGATTGGTTAAAATAATCCTTTAAAGATTAAAGAAGATTCTACTAAGTAAAGGTCTCTTTCAGCTCTAAATAAAGTTGTAGAAGAGGTTTTTCTGTGATTAGATCATTAAAATTGGCTTAATGGATCCCAAGATACTTGGGGTCAAAGGAAAGAACACAAGGATCTGCAAATTTACTGTTATACAAAGTATTATAGTACTATAATGCTTTGTATAACAGTAAATTTGCAGATCCTTGTATTCTTTTCTTTGACTCCAAGTAGTGTTTTGCAAATGATCCGGTCTAAGTTCAGGTCCAATCTGGTCCATTGATTGAACCAGACCCGGACCCTTGATATGTTAAGAATGATACGGGTTTGGACCTACATGTAGGTTCGCTAGGTAATATCCAGTCTGGTTCATTAGGTTATGATTGGCTGCACATGATTTTGCAGTCCTATAGGATCGTGAAATGATAAAGGTGAGATTTTTGAAAGTATACTATAATGGGTAATAAATGTATAGCGATAAGGTTGTGTAACTTTAAAACATATTCAATGCGATGATATAATGTAAAAGTCTATTACTAATTGTATTAGTAGTGTGAAAGTTTATTATAGTCTTATATAATAGACAAATGATGTAATATTATATAAACAAAAATTTAAATAAATAAGAGGTTCGATCTTAGAGATCTAACTTAGACTGATTTTTCGTTATATAAGCTTGTGTCTAAAGTTAATATCTTGAGATCTGCTAATTGAGTAGTAGTATGAATGTTAAGAAAGAGGTGACTAGTAAGAGGATGAAAAGCAAAATAATTAATAATAAGCCGTCTGCAGCTAAACGATTTATTAACTCCTTGACAATATTATACATTGATTGGATAGATTTTTTTTTCAAAGGATGCATTTTGATCTAAAATAGAATGTAATTTAACAATAATGATAATATTATAAAAACTGGTATTTCTGTATAGCACTCTATATAGTAGTAAAAGCCTGCATAAAAAATCATGAGAAAAAATCATACTTGAATATATATATACTGTGTTTAGAAAAAAAATTCATATGTTTATAATAAAAAACTCGTACAGTACAAGAAGTCTAAAAAACCTTTATATTCTTATATAGTGATCATGTATAAATTAGTATCTGAGCAATAAAATGCAGAAAATTTGATTTTTAATCTCTTTACATAGAATAATATACTAATAACAAAATATATTTAAAAGCAGACCATACTGCTAAACTTGGTTATTCTTTAAGAATGATAATTCAGCTTATCTTTAATAAGTTAGTTACCTTTGTTCTATATAAAGTGATTAAGGTTTCTAAATTTCTTGCACCGTAAGGTAGAGTAGGGTATTCTGGTGCATCTAAGCTGCGTTGCTAATTAAATTTTTACAAATCAATATTTATTTTTAAAATTCATTTAAACTAACTAATTATACACTTGGCTATTTGAAAAAAAAAAGGTATTATTAATAAAAAAAACTAGTTTTTTGCAACTTTTTTAAAAGCTATTTTTTGAACATTATTTTATTATGTGGGGGGATTATGCCGCACCTACAAATGTTAAGATCTTCATACTGCATAAATTACATAGTTAATACTTTTCATCCAAATGCATCAAAGATGAAACTTTATTAGCTTAAACCAAGATTAGCCATTATATCAATATTAACATTATTATTAATTTTTCTCTTTTTACTTGAACATTTTGCTCTATTTCGATTTTTTTTTGTGCTTTTTTAGTTTCCCATTCAATTCGTTTTTGTGCAGCTTCTTTCTTTCTCTTCTTTGCACTTTCTGCTTTACTTTGAGATAACTCGTTTATTTCTTTTAATTTTTGTAGAGATTCTTTGTTAGTAAGAAGCTTAGCGAATGGGAAATGTTTTCTTTGTTTTGGCTAGTTGGATTCTAGCTCGACTTGAGTTGGAATACGCGAAGTAGGATATTTAAGAGCCAGTTTTAAAGAACAAGTACCATGATTTTTTAAAGTCTCTATTTCTTCCTGTAATTCTTGATAGGTTCTTTTAATCGATTCGTTTTCTGTTTTTAGAAAATCATTTTCTGCTTTCAAAAGCTCATTCTCTTTAATAATATTAATTATACATAGAGAATAATTATGTAGGTGAAAAGATGACGCGAAGAGATTATCTGGTAGAGAAAGCAATATAGAAGATGATACAGAAGAATTATTTGGTAAAGACGATGATAAAAGAGAAGATAATATAGATATAGAAGAAGACAATGCAGGAGAATTATTTGGTAGAGAAAACAATACAGAAGATGATGATATAGTAGAATTATTTGGTAGAGAAGGCGATATGAATAGAGAAGACGATGATTCAAAAGAATTTTGTAAAGTAGATGATGTAAGAAAATTATGATTTGGTTGAGAGAATGGTATAGTGAGTTGAAAAGATGATGTAATATTTGGTAAAGATAAATCGATTTGCTTAGTTGAAAGAGATGGATCAAGACGATTTAGGCTTATGGCATTAGGATTAAGAGGCCAAATCCCTGTAACTCTATAAGTATTAATAATTGCTGAAGGAGTGTAAGTCTTGATAAAAGCTGGGTCAAGCATTTTTGCAAATGTATGCTTAGTTACCAGCTCACCAGTGTCGTTATAAAGTTTGTTACATTCTTTAGAATATTCGGATTTAAGTTTGGCAAAAGGAATTTCGGATGGTTGGAGGATATGAGTAGTATGAGGTGAGAGTACATATAGCAGAATGCTATTTTCATAACAAAAGTTAATACTTATATAATTCATGTGGCTTGTGTGTCCATTTAGTATTAAAAGAACAGGCCGACTAGGAGGAATAGAGTTAATGAAATGTTCAATATACATCTGGAAAAAGTTTTCGCGCATATATTCTGAGTCAGTAAATTCCATAACGGTGCCAGCCGGAGCCCCATCTAATAAATTTAGAATTGCACGAATGCCTTTGTAAATAAATAATAGAGGAATATAAATACTAGTGGCCAAAATTGTTGGGGCAATAGAAATATGTTCATGAGAATTACTATGTGCTATTTTATGAACCTGATGTGAACCTTTTGTAGCGAGTACTTTTTGGACTTTAGGAGCTATAACGAACCCTGTTTAATCCATATTCCAGATATGATCTGCGGTGAGTGAATTTTCTTGGATGATTTTTTGAAGTTTTTCAAAATGATCCTTAATAATAACTAGATTTGCTCTTCGTGCACAGGCTTCTGAGAGTGCCTGAAGCATATAAAAAGATAGAAAAGGATGGTCCTTCAAAAAGCGTGACCATTAGGCCTTTTCAGGTCCACCATCATTGAAAGGATGATTACAATTGTAACTATTCACAATATTTATTACACAATAATTTATTCCAGATCATGTAAGTCCAAATCCTAGTCTCTGCATGTTTTTACAATAACCTACTAATTGTTGTTCTTCATGAATACTTAAAACTGTT